CCAGTTTTTTATGTTCACATTTTATTAAAGTAATACTAAAGTCCTCCTTTTTTTGGGTCCCCCACCAGTGCTCCTGGCCCCTCCCTCCTGTTGGGTGCCCCACAGCAAGCTGCTTGCTATGGGGGCACCTGAGCAGGCGCTCTCTCGAGCTGCAGCTCTGCATGTCCATTCACACACCCAGCTGCGGATCTGTCCCGCCCCCTCCATCTCCTGATTGGTTTACTGGCTTTGATTGACAGCAGTGGGAGCCAGTAGCTCCCACTGCTGCCTCAGCCAATCATAAGTGAGAGTCCCTGGAGAACCGAGGCTCTTGTTGAACATCACTGGATTGAGAGGGGGCTCAGGTAAGTTTTTGGGGTGGCTGCTATACTCAGAAGGACTTTTACCTTCATGCATAGAATGCATCAAGGTAAAAAAAAAACCTTGAGCCATTACAACCACTTTAAATTTTTTATTTTTAGATGTCTTTGTGTGGTGGACCGTGAAATTGCAGGGGGGGGGGCAAGAAAATGTTTGCCCAGGGTCCAATCAATAATAAAGATGGCCCTGTCCGCCATAGGCACCCTCACAGGGAGACACGAATGACACCAATGCGCTATAAATCCTAGCCATTCTGGACTGTAAATCTGTGTTGGTGGAAGGATATTTCTCACCCCAAAGGGGAAAAAAATAAAGGTAACCCTGGGGATTAAATGTTAAGAGCTTCTGCCCTGTGTACTCACCATACAGTATTAACCCCTTCTTGGCCTTGTGCTTTTACACACACAAATATTATTGTGCTTAAAAATGTAAAGCTTTAAATCCTTTAGTTAAAATTAAAAAAATAAAAAAGCACAAGGGATGGTACTTACATTCAATGAGAAATGTCCCTTGTGCCTAGTCTTAGATGAAATCCTCTGTCCTCTGCCCCTATCCACCATACCCATGCAACTTTAGTCATCCTGTGCAGGGGGGTTAATACATACACGCTCTTTAAGAGTGCTGAGTTTATGCCCACCCCTCTCCTCTATTCCTATAAACTGTACTTCAGCTTTTCAATGAAAAGTGCTGTATGAATGGAGAACGGGCAGATGAATGAAAGATCTACCTTTCTTCATTCGTATAGCAATGATCAACTTAAAGAGCTGGTAATGCTGAACTCCAGACAACTTGGTAGATACACAGATGATGCATATGAGGGGGCTATTTTAGCTGCTAAAGAGTTTGTATTTGTGGCCATCCAGTCTTGAGTTACTCAGCTGAGCCCTATCTAGCAGGGATCTGATATTTTTATGTTGTAGTTTCCCTCCTGGGCTCCCCCTACCCTGCCTATGACTGGACAGGAGAAAAGGAGAAGCAACATGCTGATACGCTTCAGCTTTTACAAAATGTATAGATTTAACCCAAGCTAGAAATAAACCACCTTGCATGCTGGTCAGGGAAAGAACAAACCTAAAAGTCTCCTCAAGAAAGGAATCTGCTGCACTGCTTAAAGTGGTATTAAAACCCAAAACAAAAAATGTAATATATTGCAGCTTACCAATCATTATGTGTGGTGACTGCATTAGTTTGTTGTGTGTTTTTTTTTGTTTTTTTAGACTTTTTTTTTTCTGTTTTCACCTTATGATCTGACCAGTAACATATCTTCTGTATTGGCATGCCCCCATTCTGGATGAAGGAAACAGCAGTCACTAGCATTGTTAATCTTGAGCAGTGGTCTCCGAACTGTGGCCCTTTGCTTGCCTTTATCTGGCCCTTGGGGCACCATTCCTCAAACTGACACCAATAAAGGGGCATAAATCCTGCCACTGATACCAACAGGGCACATTTCCTCCCACTGACATAAGCAATGGGGCTCTACTCCTCTCACCGACACAAAAAATGGGGCAATATTCCTTCCACTTATACCAATGATGGGGTATTGCTGCTGCTGACATCAATGGTGTTGCCACAATAGCAACTAAATAAGTAAATTAATTAGCGCTACATCACCTTTAATGATGGGATATTGTTTACTCGCATTGACGCTGGGGCATTTTCTACTTTCACTGTCCACAGTCCTGCCCCCTCAAAGTCTGGACAGTAAACTGGCCCTTTGTTTAGAGTTTGGAGACCCCTGATCTTCAGGTAAGGGTAGTGTTAGATGGACTAGATCAGCGTTTCTCCATAATTTTAAAGGATGCCTCGGGACTGTCAACCTTTTTTTTCAGTCAAGGTACCCTTTTAAAATAGACAGTCTTGAGGTACCCCATTCTAAAATGGGGTGCCTCAAGACTGTCCATAATTTTAAAAGAGCACCCCATTCTAAAATGTTAAACAATTTGAGTATTATGTAACACAGCAACATCCACACGTAGGACACCCAACATTAGAGGTGATTTATTCTTCCAAAGCAAATACATTTTTGCACACTGGTACTGACTAGTATTCCAGTGTTTCTCTTCTCCCTCAGTTTTTCCTCCCATCATTGAGCTAACGTGACCCCAGCACTGACTGGCAGGGGAGGGTTAAACTAGGATGCTGTGCAGGCAGCTGACATCCTCATCACCTGATGGTGATGCTGGTTGTCAAGACGCCGGCGGCTAGATGGTCATAATACTGCACAATGAAAACCTGTGGCTTTGTGTAACTAAAAGGCAGGCTTGTTCCACCCGCTGGCTTGTATACAAGTTTTGGGCAATTTTTAGACATTTTGCCAAGGCACCCCTAAAGAAACTTCAAGGCACCCTGGTTGAGAAAGGCTGGACTAGATTACATACACTAACAAATTGAAGCCATACTCAAGCTCAAACTGAAGTTACACAAGCCATTACAGCAAGTGTTTGTTTTTTTTTCTTAAGTTAATGATTTTAACCACTTCCAGTCCAGGCCAATTTTCAGCTTTCAGTGCTATCACACTTTGAATGACAATTGCGCTGTCATGCAACACTGTACCCATATGAATTTTTTAGCATTTTTTTTTGAGACAGATAAAGCTTTATTTTGGTGGTATTTATTCACATGGTACAAGGCTGTTGTGAATAGCCTTGTACCATGTGACCTCTGTGATCATTCACAGATTTCACATGTAGTAAGCAATGATGTCACAAGTGACATCTTGCTTACTACTTTGCATGTGATCACTGATTGGCCAATCAGCGATCACATGATCGGGACCTCGTACAGAGGTCCCGTCCGACAATTGGTGCTCTAAAGCGGGCACCAGATCGCGGTGCTGCACGCTCCCAGGAAGCGCGCACAAGCAGGGTGCGGGGAGGCCGTTTATAAATGGCCACCCGACCCTGCAGTGCCATCGTCCAGCTGTTTATATACAACGGCCGGACGGGAGGTGGTTAAGCACCCCTGTCAGTGGTGTATGGTTTGTCTCAACGCTCCTAACTGATACAGTTGAAAAACAGACTTACTGGCCAGATCACCAGATGTATATAAGAGTTTAAAAAAAAAACTCATGCAGCCATTACATCTAAGAATTGGTAAATGTTTGCTTTTGGATTTAATAGCAATTTAAAGCGGAGCTCCACCAAAAAGGGGAAGTTCCGCTTTAAGCCTTTGTCCCCTGCTGCTCCCCATTAAGGATACCAGCTCCCACTTCCGCTGTGATTATCTAGGCGATCGGAAGCGGAAGTTGTCCTCCCCGTAGTCTTGTGGGACATGTGACAGGTCCCAGAAGACTACAGTCCATGCACAAAGCACAGTGCTTCTCACACATGCGCAGTTGGGCACCCGGCTGTGAAGCTGCAAACAGTCACAGCCGGGTGCCCACACTGAAGATGCCGGTGCCAGGGAGAGAAGACAGCCGGTGAAACCAGTGGTGGTGAGGACACTGCTGGACAGAGGGACAGGTAAGTGGCTGTATTTTATGTCAGCAGCTACAGTTTTTGTAGCTGCTTTTTTTTTTTCAGGTGGAACTCCGCTTTAAGTGTAACATTTTTTTCAATACAGCAATTACATTTCAGAGGGCTCCTTTTATGGGCTACATGGGATTTTTAAAAAATGTTTTTGTGGGTTAGGATATTTGTATGTTTTTTTTTTTCTTTTTTTTTTTATTAACATGTTTAACATGAGCAGTGCAGCTGACTCCTTTTTTGAGGGGATTGTGGTGGTTTCATAAAATATACAGAATTGATGGTTTTTCCTACAAAAAAAATGAGGAATATGGCAATAGCCCTGATCTTTCCTGGTTTGTAAAATTAAAGCACACTCATATTGAGCATAAAAAAAATTATTTAAGGTTTTTTGAAAGGCTGATCGGTTTCAAAATATATCTTAAAACGGAACTAAACCCACTAGTTTAACTGTTACCCAAAATTGTTACATTCAAGACATTACTTCATTGATAACTGTTAGTTACTAGTGTTCTTGTATTGGCTCCCAACCAAACTACCAAGCCAAATGATTGTGTGGTAACAGATCATATGTGCAGCAACATGGCATCTTCCTTGACTGTAAAGGAGAAGAGGGTTTAGTTCCACTTTTAACAATGAAAAGATTATAGATTCTCTTATCAAGGAAAAACAATTGCTTCATCAACTTCTGGCTTCAGATAGTACAGCTTACCAAAACTATGAAAATAAGGGTGCACAGCGGGGCTTCTGAAGATAGGTCACTGTATAGCCAGGCATGATGCAAGTTAACAGGACCAGTTGCATCTGGTTGAGTAGGAGAGGTAGAAACATACGTGGTTCTCACTTGCCCCTGGACTATATTCACTATAATTCACTCAAAAATTAAATACTGTGTTTGATAGATTTTACCTATAAATGGAGGATAGGGGGATGAGAGTAGAAATAGGCCTTCAAGTTTTATTTTACAATTTGCAATGTGTTTTTCTCTTATGTGTGCTAAGATTACATGTACAGTTCAGCAAAAGACTGACAACAGAAAGTAATTTTAGCTACATACAAAATACCTGCAAGTATATGCATGTAGTCTGTAAATAAAGTTTTATGTCAAAGGTTAAAATCTGAAAATGTATCATTTTCTTTGTTATACTTATTCATTCAGTGTTTCTATTCCTGCAGTTATCTTACCACACATTGGAAGTGCCACATTTAGTACAAGGAATACCATGTCTGTACTGGCAGTAAATAATCTACTGAGAGGCTTGGCTGGGCAGGAGATGCCAAGTGAACTTAAGCTTTGAAGATGTGAGCTGGATACGAACATCATGCCTGTACTTTGTCCTATATAAATACTAGTGGTATCATTTGATAAACACATTGTTTTGTAGTTCTCAATTAATAAATATGCAAAACTACAGTCGTCTAAATAACTTTGTAAATGCACGGTGCAGTAAAAAGGAAAAACATACATACATTGCAGGTTCAGTAAGGCCCCTTTGACACTGTTGGTCCAATCGGACATCCATAGACCTCTAAGGACTGGCGGGTATCAGCGGACAAGTGTCCGCTGACAGCCGCCAGCATCCGATCAGTCAAAACAGACTGATGGGGAATCTGTTCCTCATCCATCCGGCGGATTGGCTCAGATGAGTCAGGTGGAAACGAACAGGCGGTCTGTTTTCATCCGACTGCCCATAGGAAAAAGCAGGCTGTGTCCGTTCCGCAGAAGCGGAGCAACACAGACCTATAATCCGATTGCTCAGTGGGGATCAGCAGAGAGATCCCCTGCTGAGCAAATGGATCCGCTGGCGGGTCTGCCCTGTCTGAAAGGGGCCTAACATTAAGTGAGACTAGGTGCAACAAATGTTTGGAAAATCCTCAATCTTTTTAGCTTTTATTTAAAATATTTGTTACGTAGGTAGTCATAGAACCTCCATATAGGTAGGTATCTTGCATTTGTCACTCAGTTTTCAGTAGACTTTACTCAGTCTGAACATTTGCTAGCTTGCTCACAATTGTGTGCTTGTGATGAGATCTGCTTTCTAAGGTTGTTTTACCCTGGAAACAGATTGAAATGCACAGTAAATGTGGGTAAACTCAATGCATGCATCAAAAAAATAAATACCAGAAAAAACTGCACAACTATAATGCAGTAAATATAACCTGTTAAATAGGTGAATGACATTCTGTTTGCTAAAGCACTGCATGAAGTCATTTTAAAATAAGGTAAGCAACATAGTTACAAGTGGGTTAGGAAGACCCTGCTTGCAAGAGCCTATAATCTGAAAGCGAGGGGCAACTGAGGTAATGAATGAGGGATGAGCTGATGGAGAAAGTAAAAGTTCAATTTTTAGGTGGAGTGCTCTTCAGGTTTTTCTGGAGAGATGAGTCTTCAGGGATCACCTAAATTTACACAGAGCAGGAGCTAACCAGACAGCTTGGGGTAGGAGGTTTCAGAGGACGGAAGAGGCTCTGGAGAAATCCTGGAGTTTTGGTTAGTAGAGGAGGGTGCAAGGTTGCTAGAGCGCAGGATTTTCTTGGGAGGAGTACAGAGGACATTTTGACTGACGAGAGTGGAACATACTGTGTAATGTGTACTAAAATGGCCATTTGTTTGCTTCTGTGTGACCACACAGTTGGAAGGCAGTGTTGTCACCCTGTAGCAGGAAGTGTCTGGACAAGATCCTTTGTCAGGATCAGCTGCTAGTTTTTGTTTTTTTTTTTTTATAAAAATTGTAGATTTTAAAATATTGAAAGTCTAGGCATTTAAATCTCATTTTTAAATGTTAATCAGTTATTAGGAATAATATATATGTAGCAAAGGTGTCAGAAATAATTAGAAAGCCCAGCTATAAAATTATATTAGGACATTATCATTGGGCTAGGATTACCCATAAGTGGGAACTGCTATCTCACCTCTCAAACTTTCCCAGATGTGAAAGGCTTGCAAATAATTCAGGTTGCAGCAACACAGAAAAAACGAAAACCTGTTTTGGATGGAACTAACATTTAATAGTATCACTTTAGGAAAAATGTTTTTTCTTTTTTTAGTTTTGAAACTGGAGAGGGATTGGAACACCTGTCAGTTTTTATTGCGGTCTGTGTCTCTCTAATGGTCATGTTTACCGTTATCATCGAAAGTGAAATACAATCCAAAATTTTGAGTTTAACAGGAATAGAGGGGAAATCTTCCAATGGGGACACTATTTCTGGTGACATGTTGGGATTCCCTTATTTGGAGGGATTTCCTCTCTCTTACCATTTTGGCTGTGGGACAGGAAGTGAAGGAAAATCTCCCCAATAGGACACATGACAAAAAAAGGGAAGAGGGTTAAGTACTCTATCCAAAATGTAAAAAAGAAAAGTTCTTGCGTGACATTTTAATAATTTGACTATGCATTTGCTTTTGATGAGATTCTAAGCCAGGATTGCTTCACTAAGTAATGTCAAGCAGCTCTGATGACTTTTAAAAAGGATCTTCTTAAGTCACACTAAGGTCTTGTGTATTTTTTACCATGGTTCTTCTAAATAAGTACTTATTCTAAAGTATTCATACTATATTTCCACAATACCTTCCACTGAGTTTAGCCTGTGTTGCCATAAAGCTTTTTGCAGATGAAAATATAATTTTTCAGTGCCTTGCATGTGTTAACCATGAACCAAGCAGGAAGTTCTGGTATACGTAAAGCATGCTTTATGCAATGCTAGTAAGATTTGGATGTTCTACTACTCAAGTCCAATCACAGAAGAATAAAAGGGCAGCTTACACCAGATGAAGTAAGCTCATACTGAATTTTGTATTTTGTCACAGCAGTTCACCTAAATGCAGAAATTTTATATATATCTCAGTAATGCTTAACATAAGGCCTCTCATTTAAAGAATCTCAAGAAGAAATATTTGGTTAATTATAGATTTCTTCCCCTGCCACTATTAAAAGAAAACAGGAAAAAAAAAAACACATGGTGGTGATCAATTAGTGAGTGTTAATTTGTGCAACAGCCAATAAATTACTGTCGTATTAATACAACTATCATGCAAAATCACACACTTCTGTTTGGGTTTTGCTTATTTGATAAGCATTCTTTTGTAGACAATGGCCATTATTCTCATGCAGATAATCGTAGAGGCAAGAGCCACCGCTAAAAGCTCCACCATGAACATACCTTCTGTTGCAATCTCTGTAATGTCATATAAGTTGAAAATACAGTAAGAATGAGATGTACTAATATATTTATTAAGAAAGCACTTCATATAATGTGTACAAATATGTAAAACATATTATACATGTAATATTTAACCCATATATGCATATAATTCAAATCATATATTCCATATCTACAACATCCAAGTTATTCAAAATAAATCATATACAGTATATATAAAGAACTTGATCCACCATCCACATGGCATTAAACAAAACAAAAATTTGCCAAATGTACCACTACCTATGAAAGCAGCTCCCCCTCGTTTGATCCCCTTCATCAGGCAGGTCAAACTGTGCTTTTAAGAGACTTGTTCCACCCCTAACTGAAACCCCCCACCTAGATCATCAAACCTCCCAGATAGAAATCCATCATAAGACAAACCTACAATAGTGAACATTTTGCTTAAAAGGTTTATTAGTTGACAAAAAAAAAAGTGCACCCACATGATCTCGGTGAAGCTCTTATCAGACACTTCCTTGTACAAGAACACCAGCAGGCATACAGCGAGATAGATCCCTCCATGGCTGCAGACAAGGTGATGTCACTAAGACCCACCCAACTAGCTCCAGAACAAGTCAAGTGATGAAACGCATGAATTGGGCAGGTCTTAGTGACAGCATGTCTGTGGACATGGAGGGACCTATCTCACCATTTGCCTGCAGGCATTCTTGTACACTGATGTGTCTGATAAGCTTTGCATGCCTGTTGGCATTCTTGTGCACAGAAATGTCTAAGTGTTTCTGTAAACAGATCCTGTGAGTGCATGTTTTTTTATGCTTTTAATATACCTTTCACGTGCTACTTTCACTGTCATGAGTGTCTTATTCCCTTTGGTATAAACATGCAAGATTTCCATCGGAGGTTTCATAATCTGGAGAGAAGATGGTAGACAAAAACCTTTGTGGGGTTGTGTGTGTATAATGTGTGTTATATACAGTATTTTGAATCCCTTTCAGATGGTGACTTAAATTTGTGGTATATATATACTGCTCAAAAAATTTAAAGGAAACACTTTTTGAAATCATCAGATTTCAATGGGGAAAAATATTATGCTGGATATCTATACTGATATGGACTGGGTAATGTGTTAGAAACATAAGGGTGCCCCATTGTTTAATTTTTGGGCTGTCTTTGAATTCAGTCCTCTGTAGGTTGATAATTTTCATTTTCCAAAGTGAAAAAAACAATGCAGCAGGCTAGTCCATTTTGCTGAAATGTCATTGCAGCAACTCAAAATGATACTCAGTAGTTTGTATAGCCCCCACGTGCTTGTATGTATGCCTGACATCGGGGCATGCTCCTAATGAGACAACGGATGGTGTTCTGGGGTATTTCCTCCTGGATCTGGAACATGGCATCACTGAGCTCCTGGACAGTCTGATGTACAACCTGGCGTCGTTGGATGGACAAATATGAAATCCCAAAAGTGCTCAATTGGCTTTAGGTCAGGCGAGCATGGGGGCTATTCAATGGTATTGATTCCTTCATCCTCCAGGAACTGCCTGCGTACTCTTGCCACATGAGGCCGGGCATTGTCATGCACCAGGAGGTACCCAGGACTCATTGCACCAGTGTAGAATTTGACAATGGGTCATCCCTCCATGGATATGCCTCCTCTGACCATCACTGACCCACCACCAAAACGGTCATGGTGAACGATGTTACAGGCAGCATAATGTTTGCCACGTGCTCAGGGTGAACCTGCTCTCATCTGTGAAAAGCATATGGCCTGTCAATTCTGGTGTTCAATGGCAAATCCCAATCAAGCTCTATGGTACCAGGCACTGAGCACAGGGCCCACTAGAGGACATCGGGGTCCTTAGGCCACCCATGAAGTCTGTTTCTGATTGGTCAGAGACATTCACACCAGTGGCCTGCTGGAGGTCATTTTCTAGGGCTCTGGCAGTGCCCATCCTGTTCCTCCTTGCACAGAGGCGCAGATACTAGTCCTGCTGATGGGTTAAGGACCTTTTATGGCCCTGTCCAGCTCTCCTAGAGTAACTGCCTGTCTCCTGGAATCTCCTGCATGCCCTTGAGACTGTGCTGGGAGACACAGCAACCTTCTGGCAATGGTGTGTATTAATGTGCCATCATGGAGGAGTAGGACTGCCTGTGCAACCTCTGTAGGGTCCAGGTATCGCCTTATGCTACCAGTCGTGACACTGACCCTAGCCAAATGCAAAACTAGTGAAAAACAGAAAAGATGAGTAGAGAAAAAATGTCAGTGGCCTAAACCTGTAAAACAATTCCTGTTTTGGGGGTAATCTCATTGTTGCCCATCTAGTACACCTGTTGTTAATTTCATTAACACCAAAGCAGCTGAAACTGATTACCAACCCCCTCTGCTACTTAACTGACCAGATCAATACCCCAGGAGTTTAATTGACTTGATGCTATACTCTGATTAAAACGTGTTCCTTTAATTTTTTGGAGCAGTATGTATATATACACTATATATGAAATTATATGGCCATATGGGTTATAGATTGAGTGCAGATATGAATTCTTTGTTTATATATTATGAATATTCACATTATATGAAGTGCTTGATATTTAATTTTTAGGTTTGGTATTTGGGAATAAAGGCAGCAGATTTATTTTTTTTTTTTTTTTTTTTTTTTTTAGAGCGTGCAGTCTTTGCAATTTTTTTCAGTATATTTACTACCAATGTTTATCAGAGCCTAGGAATCCAGATATACCAAGAGTGATAAGAACACTGTAAATGTAGATCTTTTATTGGCAAGATTTAATTTTTTTAATTGAAAAGCTTGTACAGTTTTCAATAATTTACTCAAAGGAAGGGAACAATACTTACCAAAAATGGATAAAAATGCATTTGTTGCATTAAATGTTTACACAATTGTACAGAAATGTCTGGTTAAAACCTTGCGTGTTAGTAATGTTTTCATTTTACATAAACATACATAAACAAATGAAGTACTTGCACCTCAAAACAGAGAGAGGTTAAATATTTTGATGAAGATATGTTTCCCCTCCAAGACCATACAGTTTTTTTGTTTTCAAAAGTAATTTGCCTGTTCTGTCCATTCACAATACACTGGGTCATCCTACTTCATTAAGTACAAGGAAATGTTGCTACGTCACACATGATTGTAACTGGTCTTGGTGAGGAGGGGAAAAGTTAAAGCAGCGTCGTAGGAAGATTGCTGTTTTGCCACCTAAGGCAAGTAGTTTTGGAATGCTTATATAAGTGACTGGACTGGCTAAACCGTTTTCCACATTTCAGACAGGCATAAGGTTTTTCACCTGTATGAACCCGGATGTGCTTTTTACAGTCTGTCAAAGTCAAGAAAGTCTTACAGCATATTTTACAGGCATATTTACGGGCACCCTCCACCACCAACACATTATGCTCCGAGAGAGCTTTCTTGCACTTTGAAAGGACATCCGCAGATGCCCTTGTCAACTGTGGTGGACCTTGCTGAGCATTCCCACTGTCATAAGAGGAGCCTCCTCCATTCATCATCATTTGGGAGCTGGAGGCGTTATCCTGGAGTTGAGTACTCCGTACAGACGTAACAATTGGCATTTTGGGAGCAATACGTCGATAATTTGGAAAGTTGAAAGCACGACCCCTTGCACTTCCCATGATAGATCTGGACATAGAATGAAGCCCTAATCCAGACCTTGGGTAGTCCATTCCAAATGGGTCATTTCCACGGTAACTGGAGGACTGAACACAAGGCATACTCATAACGTCCTGCATGGGACGAGCAAAATGAGAATCTGGGCCATCACTGAAAGGATTATCCAAGTGAGACATAACATTGGAAGAGTGACCACTGGGACCTACTTCTGGACTAACGAGGTAGGATACTTCTCCATCCATTCTACAGTCACTAGTTGTATTTGGAATGTTATCATCACTGTTTTGACTTAGGTTGAGGTTGCCGTTTCTGTTCTTGCTTAAAAAATTTGAAATGCTAAAAGAGGACTTGTGCTCTAAGTTGGGAGTCACATCTAAAATGTGAATATCTCCAACCCTGTCTGTACTAGACTGGGGGTCAGAGAAACTGCGATCACTGCTTTCTGGGCTCAGTTCAATTTTTTCTGCACTTACAGTACCTTCAACCTCAACTGGCTCACTTCCTTCTGCTTGTGATGTGACATCACTCACCTCATCCTGAGGCTCAGGAGAGCTCAGAGGCTCAGATTTTACAATCACTCTCATGTGATCTTTTTCATCCACTGTAAGATCATGAGTCTCTGAAGGATAAACTGATTTCTCGCAAGCAGAGTCCTGATTGTAACTCGTTTCAACTTGACTTGTCTGAGTTGCCATTGAGATAATGTTTTCTCCACTGTTGTCAGACTGGCTTGGCACTTGTGTGTCTTCTTGGTTGCCGTATGACTGATCAAACATAAGTGTGCTATCTTCTTGGTTGTCTGGGGCAGAGTCAGATTTCATAGCGTCTGTAATTTTAAGTGAATCGGGGGAAAAATATTCTTCACGAGAATTACCCATGGACTGTACACTTTCATTGGTAACATCAGTAATGAGACACTCATCAATAGAGGCCCTCATGCGCTGCCTAGCCCTTTCTTCAGAAGACTGCTTTCTTTTGTGCAGCCGTCTTATAGGAAATGTGGCCCTTTGCTCCACTATGCTATTTCTTACAGAGGAACTCATTGAAGTCTGTTGCTGCTGGGCCTGTTCTTCACTGCTCTGATTTGAATTCAATGCTGAACTCACAATGCTTAATCCCAGCTGCTGAAGCATGAAAGACCTTTGCATTCGTGCGCTTTGCTCCTGAGCTCTGTCGTTGGGGGAAGACACAGGCAATGTCCTTGTAGTCAGATAGTGCTTACACGCTTTCACAACAGAATTCAAATGGAGGTGAGATGCTGCCAGTAGCACATCCATCACATTGCTTTCTCCAAGCATAAGAGTGGACGTATACATCATGTCAATAAGAGCAGCAAAGGCTTCAGATGTTACCACTTCACTGTCCAGCTGGATCATGTTCATGCTCTGGTCACCCTCTGCTACAGTAAACAGAGCTCTGAAATGAGTACTGCATGCTGCTAGTACAGAGCGGTGAGCTTTAAAATGTCGACTACCAACAACTATGACACAGTCACAGAGCTGGCCTTGGAGGCGCTGGTAATTTAGTTGTTGAAAGGTCTGCTCAAAGTGTCCAGGGAAATCCATGTTCCTAGAAAGATAAAAAGGCAATGCCAATGTAAATATACAGTCAGGGAACAAAGGTTTACATATGTAAAATCAAATATATGTATTTTACAATCTAGAAAACCTTAAAAGCTCAGTTCTAAAATATTAATATCACCAATATTAAATCGACACTAAAGGCTTAATTTTTTTTCCCTAAAAATAACAAACATGTCTATACTTACCTGCTCTGTGCAGTGGTTTTCAACAGAGCAGCCCAGATACTCAAGTCCCCCGAAGACTCTCACATATGTAGCCAGGACTCAGCCCCACCCCCTCTCTTTTCATTGGCTCACTGGCCTTGATTGACAGCAGTGGGAGCCATTGGCACCCGCTGCTCTCTGTTAATGAGGAGAAGTAGTCCCAGGATAGCGGAGACTCCAGTGCACATCACTATATTGAGAGGGGGCTTAGGTGAGTATTAGGGGAGCTGGGGAGTGATGAACAGAGAAGGGTTTTTTTTTACCTTCCTTTACAACCACGTTAATGATTAATGCATGGCTACAGAGGAAGGATAGTTGTCATGTCATAAAAGAATTCAAACTACCGATGATGGCAATATCTGAAGAACACACCATACAAGAGTCTCAACTTCTATTTTGCCTGAAAACAGAGCATTCAATATTACAATTTAAAGAGCTTGAATTGTCAATAGATTCTCTTGCAGTGGACCTTCAAATTATATTAGCAGGACTTAATTTCATGTTAGATTGTAAGAAGTAACCAAAATATTTTGAATCTGAAGCTCTGCTAAAACTCATGAGACCAAATTATACATCACAGGCTTAAAGAAGTTCTTCAGCCTAAAAATAAAAAATTGAAATTCAGCAGCTACAAATACTGTAGCTGCTGACTTAATAATAGGACACCTACCTATCCAGGGATCCAGCGCTGTCCTCAGCCAGCCCAGCTCTTCAGCCTTGTTTGGCATGTTTACTTTCGGCAGCTTGTGGCTTCACACCAAGCAACCCATTGTGAATGTGTGGGCAGAGTTGTGCCTTGTGAACAGCTTTCTGGGATCTGTGATGTATCCCAGAAGGCTGTGAGGGAAGAGGGGGCTGAACTTCCGTTCAAATTGTCCCCGAAGGCCTATGCACAACTGGGTTGTTGCAATTCTGAAAATAACATTTTCATACTCAGGGGGCACATCAGCAAGAACAAAAATACAATATATGTAGGCTACATATTTATATTGGCTATAAGCTTTCCTTGATCATTCAGTCAAGTTTTACCCAATAGCTACAAGAATCTGTCAAATCACTTTGTTCAGCTGCATAATAATTCAGTCAATTGTAGGTTGAATCATTTTCAGAACACCCGATCCCTGGTCTCTTCTGCTAATAATGTGCTCTTACCAAATTCATAAAGCATGAGATTCCCTGTGTACTTCAAAATGGTCATGTCTTTCCACACTTGATGCACTTTAAAGACCATGCTTCCTCACATAAAACAAAATTCCTAGCCAAATAACTGTCAATAGTTCACTTTGCTAAGCTCAATTTAGTCAATTCAAGGAGATACTAGGGATTTGCCGCAAAGGCAGTGGCTTTAAAATTAAAAGGGACCAAAGAAGCTTTTCTGGCTAAAAAAAAAGAAAAATCTATATTCACTATGTGGTGCCTGTTTTTAGGCAGGGCTTTTAGAAATAAAAAATTGATACCTACAGGTGAAAAAATTAGAATATCGGGCAAACGTTCATTTAGATAGTTCAAGCCGTGATTTGTCATAATTGTGATGATTATGGCTTACAGCTCATGAAAACCCCAAATCCACAATCTCAGAAAATGAGAATATTGTGAAAAGGTGCAATATTCTCGGCTCAAAGTGTCCCACTCTAATCAGCTAATTAAGCCATAACACCTGCAAAGGGTTCCTGAGCCTTTAAATGGTCTCTCAGTCTGGTTCAGTAGGAATCACAATCATGGGAAAGACTGCGGACCTGAAGTCAGTGCATCAAGAGCCACCACACACAGACGGATCCTGGACATGGGCTTCAAATGTCGTATTCCTCTTGTCAAGCCGCTCCTGAACAACGTCAGAAGCGTCTTACGTGGGCTAAAGAAAAACAGACCTGGTCTGTTGCTCAGTGGTCCAAAGTCCTCTTTTCTGATGTGTTGATTTGGGGAGCCATGTCATCTGCTGATGTTGGTCCACTGTGCTTCATTAAGTCCAGGGTCAATTCAGCCGTCTACCAGGAGATTTTGGAGCTCTTCATGCTTCCTTCCGCAGACTAGCTTTATGGGGATGCCGATTTCATTTTTCAGCAGGACTTGACACCTGCCCGCACTGCCAAAAGCACCAAAACCTGGTTCAATGACCGTGGGATTACTGTGCTTGATTGCCCAGCAAACTCGCCTGACCCGAACACCATAGAGAATCTATGGGGCATTGCCAAGAGAAAGATGAGAGACATGAGACCGAACAATGCAGAAGAGCTGAAGGCCGCTATTGAAGCATCCTGGTCTTCCATAAAACCTCAGCAGTGCCACAGGCTGATAGCTTCGTTGCCATGCCGCATTGAGGCAGTAATTGCTGCAAAAGGGGCCCAAACCAAGTACTGAGTACATATACATGCTTATACTTTTCAGAGGTCCGATATTGTTCTATGTACAATCCTTGTTTTATTGATTGCATGTAATATTCTAATTTTCTGAGATTGTGGATTTGGGGTTTTCATGAGCTGTAAGCCATAATCATCACGATTATGACAAATCACAGCTTGAACTATCTTGCTTTGCATGTAATGAGTCTATCTCATATATTAGTTTCACCTTTTAAGTTGCATTACTGAAATAAATGAACTTTTGCACGATATTCTAATTTTTCGAGTTTCACCTGTACTTATACGAGCTAGACATAAATGAAAAAAACAAGTACGTGTAAAATGATTGCTCACTGCTATACTGGTAAAATATGTGTAGAAGCCTTGTTATCCACTTGATGTTAGCCCACATTTGCCTCCTCCACCTTGTTCTGTTGATGATGGCTCTCAGGGTGTTGATACCAGCCCAAAGGGCTTCAGAAATGTTCTTTCCTGACTACACAGGGCTCTGGTTATAGGTCCACTAAATATCTGGAGAATGTAACAAAAAAGTCACCTGTGTGTTTTTGGGGGGGGGGGGTTGGAGGGACCATCACCCAAGATTTTGTTGTGTCAGCATAGGGGTGGGCAAACTGCAGTTTTCCAGCTTTTGTGGTCCTACAAGTCTCTTCAGGCATCTGCGAGTCATGCTTGCAATGGTCAGTCTTGCAGTGCCTCATAGGACCCGTAGTTCCACAAAAGTTGGAAGGGGCTCATACAGATAGAGGGAAGAGAAAGGCATTTGGTGATTTGGAATGTGGCAAGTACACACTTTAGAAGGCTGTACTTTGTTCATTTCTCATGTTAGAGGTTTACAACCACTTTAAAAGAAATCTTTACTGCTAAAAAAATATATTATCTACAGTACATACAGTACAAAACCTTTATACTACGTCTGCTGAACTCTACTTTTGAAAATGCTGGTTGTCATGCTGATCCAAAGGATTTAAATACTTTGTCACTGACTTGGAACAAGTTTGTAGATCAGGAAATCTGACTTTACTATAAATTTTTTTTTCTCTTGATAGATAAACTCTGCTTTAGTAACTTTTTTTGTACTAGGAAAGCGTGTTTACCACTTGTTTTCGGGTTAGCTTAAAATTGTCTATTTTTCTTTTTATAAAGATTACTAAAAGAAACCCTCTTTTGCGCTATCAGATGTCTTCCTCTTCACTTCCTCCAGATATGTAGAGCTGTATTCTGTAATCATTTTTGTTTCATCTGATTTAGCTGAATTTGATTTTTTTTTTCTTTATTTTCACCTGGTGATTATGCCAATAATGCACTTTCTGTCCTATGGGTATCACTGAAGGACCAGCCTTGTCACCCTAGAACAAGATGTTTGTAAAGACTACAAAATACTTCCACAACTCCTGGTCTCCACAACAAGGGGGGTATCCCGTAGTTCAGAGGAGAACTGGTCAAGGTTGATAACAGAGCACAAAAAGTTACAAGATAAGTGGATTTATGGCAGGATCAAGATTTTTTTTTTTTGCACTGGCATCCTGACAACCAATGATATCATCAGTTAAGGATGTGAGTTGCCTGCACTTCATCTTTGTTTGACCCTCCCCTGCCAGTCTTCTTCAATGCTGGGGTCACATTAGCTCAGCGAAGGAGAAAAACTGAGGGAGAAGAGAAACCATGGAATACTAGTCAGTACCAGTGTGCAAAAGTGTATTTGCATTGGAAGAATAAATCACCTCTAATGTTGGGTGTCCTACATGTGTGGATGTTGCTGCGTTCTATTAAAAACTATTAAAATAGTTTTTTTATATTTTAGAATGGGGTGCTCCAAGACTGTCCATAATTTTAAAGGGTGCCTTGGGACTGTCCATAATCTTAAAGGGTGCCTTGACTGAAAAAAGGTTGAGAAACACTGGTTTAAAGGATAATTTCACTTTTTAAGTAGTTGTTTAAAATAACTCCCCCACCCCTTAAATGTAGCCCATCCAGTACCACCTGCCCCAATGCAGCTGTGTTTGCTGTGCAGCCTTGCCCAGCCTTTAAAAAAAGCCTCCCACTGGCTTCTTTTCTTCCTGGACATTGATTCTTATGTGAGGACCATACTAAAAGGTAGCATCCAGTGCTCTTGATTCCCAGCAGCCCAATCTTTTCTGCCAGAGGGCCAGCTCACAGGCCTTGTAATGCCCATGTTCACAATAAAACATGTATTTCAGAAATTCCCAGGCTTGAAGCCAAACAACAAGCATCTTTAGAAAGTGGTCAGCACGGTCAACCTCTTTTTTTTTTTTTTTTTTTAGTGAAGCTTTCTTTTCCTGTAAACTCCCAGCATCATAAAATTGTGCCAAAAAGATAGGGAAAAAAAAAACCAAACAAAAAAAACACTGGTTTTCTACCATAGTACCAATTTAATCAGCATTTGGCGGTAGGAAACTAG